GTACGTACGTACTGTAAGCGATAAATCTTATTTTATAAGATAATTCGTTTAAAAATTTACAGCTGTAGCGTACGAGTAGAATAAGGTTGAGGGGTTTTGTAATTTGTTTTGTGTTGCTAATTATTATGTTACTTAAATAGTTCTATACTGTTCTTTTTTTAAAATTAAATATCACACTAAGTTTCTTGCTGGTTCTTCCCAGGACAGAGGTATTTTTCAAACCAGTGGTATATTAAATATAGGAGTGACTATTACTATTTGAATCCGCCGTTCGAATACTGACAAGAACCTATCCTAATATGGTTATTTATTCTTAGTAGAGGTTTACATTATGACTGTTAACACCATAACAAGTATTAAAAGAAAATAGAAACACTCGTCATGTGGAGCACTATTGAAAAATAAAATAAATCTAAAAGAATAAACAAATTTGCATGTCTCCATTAGGGTTATAATATGTAATACATAGTACACACTACTACAGTATTCAGCTACTCGTATTTACATTCGAAACAATCCATCCACTTCACGTTATCTTGTCACGGCATTGCAACCAACGTGTATTTAGACGGTAACCGTTGTTATGCAGTATTAACTGGCTATATTCCAAACGGTGGTATTTTTGGATTCTATCCAAATGACCGAGCCTGTCCTTAGGCCTGCTAACATTCTGTGCGTTTTTTTTCCTTGGCTTAACAATATATTATTTAAGTGTCAAATTAAGCAACTTTTCGGGTGAAGGCATTTATAGTTGAATTCAATTGCACTGTCTTGCTGTTCCACCTTAAAGAGGTAACAGTAAAAACAGGTTATTGCTTATGTAGTTTCCACTACTGGCCACAGGCCTCTTTTCAATTTTGGGAGGATTTAGGACCAATTAGTCGTCGCTGCTCCAGTGCGTGTGGGTGGACTTCTTTGAAAATGCCTTTGAAGTATTTTACCACGTTTTTTTACCAATTTTTAATAAGTGACTTTCTTGTTTTTCTGTCAGCCTATATGTCTGTTGTTCCGGGTGAAATTTAGTAATTGATTTTGAAATAACTTCCCGATGAGCTGGAAATTTGAAATTTTGAATGTAGTTCAAATTTGGATGACACTGCAAGATTATGTTAAAAAAAGGGGGAGATTAAAAAAAAATCTATACAATTTTACTTGTTCATCCACTAGCATTAGCACTTAAAATTGCAATTAACAATTTATTTAACCTTTCTTTTATAAGAAAGTAGCAACATTATGCTTACATTTTTACCAAGTGCCAATCATACCATGCTAATTAACCGTCGATTCTTTAGTGTCCGACTGATGATGAAAAAAAAAACACCCAGAACATAATTTTCACAGACAGAAAATAGGAAGCGAGATGAGCACAAAATATTAAGATACATTTTCAAAACTTTTGTCGTAAATCACTCGGGTATAAATTATAAAATAACGTGGTTTTTTCTTTTTTCCTAAGTTTTATCACAAAGAAACAATATTTTAAGGATAAAATATTATAATGATTTTTTTAATCACATATATTAAACGAATGTGAAGCCACGTATGTTCAACAGTAGACTTTTAATGGCTGATATAGATGGATAAATGGATGGCGGTGTAAGAATATCCACTACCCCATATCAACACGTGGTTGTCAGAAGAGGCGACAGAGGGAACAAATCAGGAGATGGGCGTCAGCGTCTTCCTGATGATGACTAAAAATAAAAAAGGCGGTTGCCAACCCGCTTGCCAAGCGTGGCAATTATGGAAAATATTTTTTTTATAGGATAGGAGTGACAAACGAGCACACAGTCCACCTGATGGTAAGTGGTTGCTGCGGCCCATAGACATCTACATCTAACCTCTATTACAAATCAAAATGCAGAATGCGTTGTCACCCATGAGGACTAAGATGGAATGCCTCATTTCCAGTAAAAAGGGTCTCCGGTTCTCTACACTCACCATACGAAACACAGCAGCGTTAAGTTGCTATTTTACGCTGGTATTCTGTGAGAGCGTGGTCCTTCCCCGGTCGAGCCGACCCATTTGTACTACAACTAGACTACTAATATAGCTGCAGCATGGCTCTATCACGTATAAACCCCTATTAGGCAATTTATGGAGGAGGCCTATGTTGCAGTGGACTTTAATAGGCTGTAACGGTAAACAATCGTTTATAATACATTTACACACATTAATATTATTTTCTATATTTCATCCAGGGGTTGTCCGTCACGGAGTCACAGTCGCCTCAGATGACCAGAAAGGTTGACCGGTATTAACCCTTTTACAAAAACGACTACAGAATAATTTCGGTCAGCCGACTATCCCACATGGTAGTGACCTCGTGAGCCAGATGCAGATATTTTGATTGCTAATCTGTTTTGGCTTTCACGAGGTTTTCGTCATAAGGAATGGTAATGTCGACCAACAATATTCTTGACTGTGCTCGGTTCATCCTCAATATTAGGCTTATTCGCAAATACAGTCCTGTCCGTGATGACGACCCAGTACCAGCTCATCTTACGGCAAGTATTTATAATGAGGCAGTTTCTGACCCACAAGACTGTATTTCAGAACAAGCTCTTGGCAGAATCCAGTCTACTAGGTTGGTCCTCTGCAAATATTCAGAATTAAAAAGTGCAGTTATTATTATAGGGTATTCATATAATATTCTCATCTGATTGGGCTGTATAAATACATTATATACATTAAATGTAGTAAAATAAATAAATAAAATCGCAACCAGATGGAAGCGCTCAGCAGGGGAGACCAAAGGTCAAAGTTATATTATTACTTATAAGTTATTGTGGGATATCAATATAGTATTCCTACCTACAATATAGTATACTTAAATATGCAATAAATATAGTAAAATAAATTAATTAAAAAAAACATATATAATTTAAAATCCAAACAGATGGCAGCCTTCGGCAGGGGAAACCAAATGGCCCAGGTTAGGGAGAATAGAGAAGAATCCGGCGAACGATGCAGGCGGTAATAAGTAGTTCCACCTTCTGCATTTGAGTCCAGTCACCGAGTCTTCTCAGAGGACCCGAAAGGCTGACTGGGATTAGCCCGTTCGCAGAAACGACTAAAGGAATAATTTTGGTCCTCAGAACACACTACATGTCGGTCACCTCGTGAGCCGGGTCTACATATATTGTTCGTTAATGGTTAATATTATACTATCATGATTATGTGGTATCTATAAAGTTTTCTCATCTTGTTGGGAAATATAAATATATAATTGTAAATAATCATGGTAAACGTACATAAATATTAATAAAATAAAATAAATACATAAATATATAAAAACCCAACCAGATGGAAGCCCTCGGCAGGGGAGACCAAACGGCCGAGGGTTAGGGGGAAAGGGAAAGAAACCGGCGGACGATGCGGGCGGTATCGAGGAGCACCGCCTTCTGCATTTGAGCTTGGAGCGGTCCGTTACGGAGTCCCAGTCGCCTCAGATGACCCGAGAGGCTGACTGGAATTAACCCATTCGCAGAGACGACTACAGGTATAATTTAGGCCGACAGTCCACCCCACATGTCGGTCACCTCGTGAGCCAGGTCCAGATATTTTGTCAGCTTATCTGTTTCGGCTTTCACGAGGTTCTCGCCATAAGAAATGGTAATGTCGACCAAAAATATCCTTGACTGTGCCCGGTCCATCAGCAGAATATTAGTCTTATTCGCAAGAATAGTCCTGTCTGTGATGATGGCCCGGTCCCAGTAGAGCCTGGCGCGGTCATTTTCGAGTACGGCTTCCGGCAAGTACTTATAATACGGCAGTTTCCGATCCACGAGACCGTATTTCAGAGCGAGCTCCTGGTGTAGAATCCTGGCTACTAAGTTGTGCCTGTGCAAATACTCAGAGTTAGAAAGCGCCAAACAACCGGAGATGACATGCCTAAGTGACTCACCGGGATGGCGACAAGCTCCACAGACGTCAAAGGTGCCATCCTTTAGGATGTATCTCCGATAATTGTTGGTCTTAATAACCGGATCCTGTATCGCACAGACAAAACCCTCGGTTTCCCCAAAGAGGTCACCGAAACGTAGCCAGTGGAGGAAGGCGACTGTGTCTACGAAAGGCTCATGTAGAGCCTTGTAGAACCTCCCGTGGAGCTCCTTCTCCTTCCATAGGTCTCCCGGTCGGAAATGCTCTATACTGCCGGGTCCTGCCATTGCTCGTTGGCTAAGGTTAGAGGGGTAAGTCCTTTATCACAAGAAATAACGTCCCTATAGTATGGATCATCCGCTCTCGTCAGAAAGCAATTACGGAAGCTGCACACTTCGCAATTATGCATAGTAAGCGCGCTTAAAAAGCCGCGCCCACCATGCTTCCGCGACAAGTACAGCCTCATTACTGACGATCTCGGATGATGCACCCTGTGGGACGTCATTATAGTGCGGACTTTTCTGTCCAGAGCGTTTAGTTCGGTCTGAGTCCACCTGAGTATGCCAACGGTATACACGAGAACAGGCATGATCCAACCGTTATATGCGTGCGTCTTATTCACACCGGACAAAAGGCTGTTAACCACTTTGGTCAAGCGTGCATAAAACACATCGCAAACTGACTGTTTCATACCCGCCTCATCTACACCGATGTTCTGTGACATACCCAGGTATCGGTATGTTTTAGCCTCGGAAAGGGTCCTCATGTTGATGGGCATAGATAAATCTATGCCCTCAGAGTTAGCAACCCTTCCCCTTTCAACATGGAGGACCGCACGCTTATCCGTGCCCAGCTCCATTCTAATAGAATTGCTAAAATCACAAGTGATGTTTAGAAATTCCATAAGATGAGAGCGACTGGAGGCGAATAACTTGAGATCATCCATATAGAAAAGGTGGGTCACTTTTTTACCTCCCTTCCGAAGCTGAAATCCCCTCCCGGAGCCCTCCAGTAAGGTACTGAGAGGGTTCAGAGAGGCAGATTGGACTCAAACAATCGCCCTGGAAGATACCCCTTCTTATCCTTATGTGGTTCCGCAGCCGTCATCCGCTCGCCTAGATGACAAAGGATCGTACTCCACTGCCCCATATACTGCCCGAGGTCTCTAACTGTATAGTCAATCTTGTACAGCTCGAGGACCCTCTAAGCCATGTATAAGGCACTGAGTCGAATGCCTTTTTGTAGTCTATCCAGGCGGCGGAGAGATTCCGACGGTTGCGTTTAACCATGTTGCCAACGACCGCGTCAATGAGGAGTGGTTCCTTGGTCCCACGACCACCGCCCCGACATCCATTTTGGGCACGCGACATCACCTGGTTTGAGTTCAGGTGACGAATGATTCTCGCGCTCAAAATGGATGTTAGTGTCTTGTATATGGTAGGTAGACACGTTATGGGGCGGTATTTGCTCGGGTCTGTGGAATCCCCGTCTTTAGGAACCAAATGAGTGATCCCAGTAGTGAAGATGCTCGGGAGCGACTTTTGGTCGAGAGCCTCTTGAAACTGTCGGGTGAGCACAGCGTGACACACCATGAAACCCTTCAGCCAGTAGTGATGCAGTCCGTCGAGTCCCGGACTTTTCCAGTTCAGGGCCCTACGGACCGCCTCAGCTACATCATCCGGCTTTATGATGACGGGGTCCATGGGCGTAACATTCGCACACTGACTCGCCACAACTTCCGTCCAAGGGCCCTCGCTGTGGTTTACGGGCTCTGACCACAGGCCGCGCCAGAATGCGATAGTGTCGGCCTGATTCGGTGCTGGGCCCGTTCCACGTACCATTGGTCGTTCCAGTGATTCATAGAGCCTCTTCTGATCACTACGGAAGAGACGATTCTGGTTGAACCGTGTCGACCTCTCGGTATATCGCCGAATCCACTGCCCCCAAGCAGCGATTGTCTGCTTCAGGTCGTCTATGCGCTCCGTCAGTTTTTGCGTTATATCCGTTATATATATCAAACTGATATTTGTCCCAGCAAACGCCATCCTAACGGTGCGCACAATTCTCGGCCTATTATTGCCCGACCTGAAGCTTATCAGTCTGCCAATGAGGTCCCTTGCCTTTGCGATACGGTGCTCAATCCTTCTTCTCCAGGCTGGGATGGCACTACTTTGTCTAGTAGCGCGTCCGGCCGTGGAAACTTTGGCGCCAATAATGCGGCAAACTGCCAGTGCGGCGCCAATAAGAATTGAATCCGTCTCGCAAAGGTCCCGGCTGGCTTCCAAATAGGTCACCAGCATTGGGTTGAGAGCCCTCACGACAGCCCGATTTCGCTTGCTTATTGCTTGCATGCCCCATGCGCGGGAGTCGCGGTCGATTTTCGAGAGGCATTCTGCGCGTTTCCAAAATAGCCTCTTCCAATGTACTCCTCATCTGCTCTAGTTCTAGTTCTTGGGCGACTGTTGCATTATCGTCTGAACAAACCATAACTGAAAGATTTACGGCGGCATTCACGTGTGCTGGTTGCTCTGCAACTTGTGGCGCCGCATCCTCAGCCGTAGCATTGTCATCCGAGGGTACAGCCTCACGCCGTAGTCGTTCGAGTTCGAAATCATCAAATATTTTCGAGCGTATGATGTACCGAACTCGGTCTGCCAGGTTTTGCTCTGTGACGGGAACTGACGGCTCAAGCTCAGCAAAAAAGCGATACGCTATCCCTCCAGTCTCTTCTCCTTTCTCCCTATAGTACGCCCGCAATGCGTTTATGTTCATATTTTTTATCCAACGCATGCGGCGTACTCCACCAGCGGCGGGTGCCTCTTGCCGAGTCCGACAGGACAGGACAGGGCTGCTAGGTGGTCGTGCAGCACCTCGCACTCGGCTGGCGGCCCGCATGCTGTCGCGTCCAGCGCCAGCTCCAGACGCGCCCCGGCGACCCCCAAGCAGCGGCCCTATACGTAGTCTATTTTTTTCCATCATCCATAAATTGGGCGTCAATTAACGGGAGACGCCCAGGCCCGGAACCGTTTCATGATTTGGCCGAAAGCACAAGCGGGCCCAAATTCGCACCCTCAATTCTGTCGAAGCACGGCGCTCACACCTCTTGGCAAGGTGCTGACTGACTGCGCTGACGTAGCAGTTTTGTCAGATAACTATTACGTCAGCGGGCGATGGGGTCGTCACTTCCCTATGCCTCCTATTATTATTATTATTATTATTATAATCACTGCCGTGTAGAGGCGCTCAAGAATATCCACTACCCCATATCTTCTCGTGGGTGTCGTAAAAGGCGACAAAGGAAAACAGACAGGAGATGGGCAGCAGCATCTTCCTGATAATAGCCAAAATTACAATAAAAAAACTGCGGTTGCCAACCCGCTCGCCAGGCATGGCAACTATGGCAAATACCCCCCTATGAAAAGAGTGACAAGGAGACGGCCTCCAGTCCCCGGCGGCCCCGCTATTCCTGGCTACGGTGGCGACCATGGTAACGGCGGGGCGGGGGGTGCTAAGAATTCTCTCGTTAACAGTGTTGTAAAGGTTGGGAGTGTATCAACGAGGGTTGCGTAACTTATACTCAGAATCATCAAACGGTATTTGCTGAAGGTCATACAGGTTTATACACCAACCTCGACACACCCCGATGAGGAGGTGGAGGAAATGTATGAGGATATCTCTAGAGCCATGCATTCCTCCAAAACCCAATATACGGTGTTAATGGGAGACTTCAATGTAAAACTAGGCACAAGAGAGAACGGTACGCTGAAAGTAGGGAAATTTGGAATAGGGCAACGGAATCCAAGGGGCCAGCAGCTGGCCGACTTCATGGAGAAAGTGGGATACTTTATGATGAACTTGTTCTTCCAGAAGCGGCCCACAGGAAGTGAATCTGGTCGAGCCCCGACGGTTCGACAAAAAATGAGATTGACTTCATTATGACGACCAGACGACAACTGTTCAGTGATGTCTCAGTGATCGCGAGGGTGAAAACCGGCAGCGATCACCGAATGGTTAGAGGCACACTGAACCTAAACGTTAAGTTGGAGAGGTCTCAACTAATGAAGTCAACGCTCCGTCCCCCTCGTGCCCTGTTCCAACGTCCTGAAACCTTTCAGCTCGAGTTACAAAACCGTTTTCAGTGCCTAGAAAACTAGAATGAAGTGGACGATATGAATGAAAAGCCCGTGGAAACTGTCCATGCTGTCGGTTCTGCGAGACCCGCCGAAGAGGAAAACACAAACTCTCTGATCACACTCTTAATCTCATGGCTGTTAGACGGGAGATAAAGCTACATTCTTCACCAGATTTGACAGCATACAAGCAACTGAACAGACAGATCTCCAAATGCATGCGGCGGGACTTACGCAACTTCAATACAGCTTGTATTGAAGAAGCGATCGAGCGGAACCAAGGATAGATCTGTCTGCCAAAAAGAGCCAACTGTCAAGGCTGAAGACCGAGTGTGGCAGCATCGTTTCCGGGGCACCTGAGATTTTGAGTGAGATTGAGAGGTTCTATGGACAGCTGTATACTTCATCGTTGGAGCCACACGCAAGTGTGAGTAACGATCCAAGAGCGAATCTTAAACGACACTATTGCGAAGATATCCCGGACGTCAGTCTGAGCGATATTAGAATGGCTCTCCAGCATCTTAAAAACGGCAAGGCCCCAGGCGAGGACGGAATTACAGCGGAGCTTCTGAAAGCGGGTAGAAAACCGGTACTGGAAGTCCTTCAGAGGCTCTTTAATTCCGTCCTCTATGGTGGCATTACACCAGAGGCCTGGAGCAGAAGTGCGGTGGTATTGTACTTCAAGGAAGGTAACAATGCTCTCTTGAAAAACTACGAGTACAGACCGATTTTCCTTCTGAGCCGGGTCTACGTGCTGTTTTCGAAAGTCATTACGAATCGTTTCGCACGCAGACTTGACGACTTCCAGCCTTCCGAACAAGCCGGTTTCCGAAAGGGCTTTAGCACCATAGACCACATACATACCCTTCGGCAAGTTGCACAGAAATCCGAGGAGTATTAATTTGCCACTATGCCTTGCGTATGCGGACTATGAGAAAGCGTTTGATTCCGTCGAAATTTGGGCGGTGCTGCAGTCACTTTTTTTTTATAGGATAAGGGTGACAAACGAGCACACAGTCCACTTGATGGTAAGTGGTTGCTGCGGCCCATAGACATCCACATCTATCCTCTATTACAAATCAAAATGTAGATGCGTTGTCACCCGTGAGGACTAAGATGGAATGCCTTATTTCCAGTAAAAAAGGCCTCCGGCCACCTGCACTCACCAAGCGAAACGCAGAGGTAAACCTCTACTTCACGCTGGTATTCTGTGACTTCAGCGGTGCCAAGTTGACTGTCGGTATATCGAAGTGCTGAAGTGCTTGTACAGTAGGGCTACGATGGCTATCCGAGTACAGAACCAGAGTACGAAACCTATCCAATTGCAGAGAGGCGTAAGACAGGGTGACGTCATATCCCCGAAACTCTTCACCGCTGCATTGGAAGACGTTTTTATGCTTCTGGACTGGAAAGGATGCGGTATCAACATCAATGGCGAGCACATCACTCACCTTCGATTTGCCGACGATATAGTCCTTAAGGCAGAATCGCTGGAGGACCTAAGCACTATGCTCAATGACCTCAATAGTGTCTCCCAACGGATAGGTCTTAAGATGAACATCGACAAAACAAAAATTATGTTTAATGTCCATGTCTACACCTATGCCGGTAGTTGTTGGGAGCACTAAGCTCGAAGTTGTTGACGAGTATGTTTACCTGGGACAAATAGTCCGACTAGGTAAGTCCAACTTCGACCGAGAGGTCAATCGACGGATTCAACTCGGCTGGGCAGTGTTCGGGAAGCTACGACTCATCTTCTCGTCAGACATACCTCAAAACCTTAAAACGAAATTGTACAACCAGTGCGTGTTGCCAGTGATGACTTACGGATCTGAGACGTGGTCCTTCACTGCTGGCCGTATGAGGAAGCTCAAGGTCGCTCAGCGAGCTATAGAGAGGGCTATGCTCGGAGTTTGTCTGCGTGATAAACTTAGAAATGAGGATATCCGCAGTAGAACCAGAGTGACCGACATAGCCCAACAGATTAGTAAGCTGAAGTGGCAGTGGGCCGGCCATATAGCTCGAAGAACCGACAACCGATGGGGAAGAAAGGTTCTTGAGTGTCAGCCTGGTACCGACAGGCGAAGTGTAGGGCGACCCCCCACGAGATGGAGTGACGACTTGGTAAGACATGCAGGAAGTCGATGGATGCAGGTGGCTCAGGACTGTATTCCTTGGGGGAGGCCTGTGTTTAGCAGTGGACTTACGAATGGCTGTAATGATGATGATGATGATGATATTTATTAGTGAAAAAGTAAATCAAACTCTTTTATTATTGTAAAATGCGTGTGTAATCGTATCGATAATACAAAAGAATATGCAAGTAGATAAAACAATTTCACAGTGTGAAAAAGATATTATTACCGTCTAGGAATGATTAAAACTTTGAGCAGCATTGTGGTAAAATATAACGTGAAGTTTTTTTTTAATTCATAATTTTTATTAGTTCTTAAGATTTGAAATATTTTACACTTTCAAAAATATTTTCACTATATTAAATCGTTATAATATTTCTAATAACTTGAGAATAGCTTGTTTTGAGAAAATGATAACTCTATTTATTTTAAGTCATA